TACATATATATATTCAACACATACCTAATTTACATATATATAAAACACATACATATATATAAAGATTTACTTCAATCTCCTAAACTACGTATATTACTATTTTCATATTTATAATACTATGAAGGCATTTATGTTTAGAATAATGACCCCAAAACTGGATAGATAGAGATACATAGATAAATTAATTCAGAAAAAAAAAAGATATTGAAGATCTCTTATATACAGGACATTTTGTTATGGTTCTGGGAATACGAATGAAGAACACACAGTCTTATTCACACAGAAGAAGGTATCTCAAAATGTCAGCCTAGGGAAGAAGAAGAGAAAGGACAATCTAGATAACCCAAAGCTTTTATCAGATGATGGTAAGGTATTTAAACATTCCATCGCCATCCAAAAGAATATTTCTTCTCCCCTTCTACTACATATAGTACCAATAACATTGTGAAATGATGAAATAAATTTGTAGAGAAAAAAAGTATAAAGTCAGGTAGAGTGTGGAAACAGAATATTAAAGAGAATAAATTGCATATGGAATAATTACTCAGAATCTGCTATTAAAAATATTTAGTTGTTTCCATATATAGTACATACACACACATGTACTATATATATGAAACCATATTTTCATATATGTATGTACATATAGTTTTAACATGACAATACTATAATACCTAGAATGAAAACTTGGATTATATTTCTCTTTTTAAACTCCTTATCCTTGAAAATACAGTAAAATCAGCTTTCTGTGCTCACTGTATAGTCTTTTAGAATGTTGAGCATTCTAAAATTTAGCAGTATAACTGTGAATAATGGAGTTTTGCTTCTATGCTGTTATATACATTTTGAACATTAATACTAGGTGGGTTATTATCAATTAATTTGTTTTAGATAACTTCATTTTAATCTTAAGAGAGACTTATTTTTCGCTCTTTTAGTGGAATTTAGGTTACTATGGATTTTTAGGGAAAAAAGTAAACCCAATGGAAGGAAAATCTTTTCTATGAGCAGATGGCTTTTGGTATATCAAGGTTTTGCCATTTGTTTTAGTGCTTAAAATAAACATTATTTATAAGACCACTTACATTTTGATGTTACTTAATGAGGAATATGCATCATTGATTTGACTAGCTTAAGAGGTCATTTAGAACTTGCCCGTTAACAAGCTGTAATCTGCTGAGCACACAATGACTTTGTTTAAAATTATCTATTCAGAGCTGATCAATGACAATAATTGTTTTATACCAATCACTTTTGAAAGTTGCTAATTACTTTGAAGGACATGAATACAAGTCATTTCTCTCTCTCTCTCTCTCTCTCTCTCTCTCTCTCTCTGGAAGTTGTAACCCTTTCACCTTGAAATTAGAAGAAATGTTATCAAAATCCATCTTGTCTCTTGAAAGTACTTTTAAAAAATAGCTTATTCACTTCTATTGGAATAGCTACTGAAAATTTAAGCAAAATTCAAGATGTCATTTATTCCTATAATAGGAAGTATAGTAGAATTTCACCTATATTCTATCTTATATAAATTAGCTGTTGCTTAAGCTAGGGTCTTTATAATGTAAGAAAAAGTACCCCTTTAAAATCAAAGAACACACATACTTTCTCTTTTTATGCACTACAGTTGTGAGATGTTTTAGTGGATAGATTGTGGGCTTTTGAGTAGCCTGGGTTCGTGTCCTGACTCTGCTATTTCCTCTTTTGCTGGCTATATGGCCTTGAGCAAATTATTTAACCTTGGTTTCTTCATTTTTAACATAAAGATCATGCCCTATTCACAAGAATATTGTGAGAATTAAAGCAGTTAGCATAATACCTGGCATATTCATGGCGCTCAAGGGATTTTAGATTTTTCATTTCACTGTTGGCAGCTTCTTTACCCACTCCAATGATGTTTGTGAAAGCTCTTCTCACACACTCATCTCTAACAAAGCCACTTAAAGATTGATTATATTTTAGTGTAGATGAGTTTTAATTTGTTACCTTAATCATCACTTACTTGATGTGTCCCTTAATACCTCATTTTCAATAGAAGGATTTATCTTGGAAAGGAATTTTAGCCTGACTTTGGATAGATATCCAGGGTGTTACAGTATTAGAATGTTTCCTGAAAGTGTATCCATTGTATCCTCTCCAGATATGGCTGGTGCTGTTTCTAATAATTACTGGGTTGGAAAAGAAAGGAGTACATGTCTTTGGATGATTTATTATTATTATTATTACTATTATTACTACTACTACAGGAAATTCTATGTTAATAGAGATTTTTTTTCCAGCCAATATCAGTTTTTGTCCTTTCAAACCTCTTTTCTCAGAATGGGCATTCCCACTACTCTGGTATTAACTAATCATAAACTACTTTCATTCCTCTTTTCTCTCAGTACTCCAGCCTGCATTTTTGTTTTCTGGTACATGTAATCTTATTTTATTTAGAATTTAATGATATTTTCATGTGATAGGTATCCTTTCCTTAACACTATTTGGTATCTTAATATTTTCCCATGCAACCTGAATCACTTCTATTGCTTATGATGGATTTCCTGTCAGTACATGTATTTACAAGTGTTCTCTTTGTTAATAAAATTGTTACTGTATATGCAATAAATGTGTGCTAAAACATTTGAAGCTATCCAACCAACTATATGACCTTAGGCAATTAGTTAACCTCTCTAGACATCAATTTCCTCTTCTCCAAAGAGGCCCATAATAATCTCTAATCTCTACATCAGAATAATACTGTAATGATTAAATTAAATAAGGTAGGAAAATACTTATTTGCATGTACGATCTGCATATATATATTCCAATTTATTCTTCTTTTGTATTAGAAAAGCAGTTTGTATTAATTTCTCCTTTTCTTCTCTCAGTCATAATATGCTATCAGTTAAATTAGGGAGAGGGAGTTTCTAAATTGATTATGTAATTTTAGAAAAATTAATTTTTGTTTATTTTAATAATTGATCTTTAAAATAAGATTATTGAAAAAGTTTTTAAAAGACCCTTTCTGAAAGCCGGGCTCCGTGGCTCAGCCTGTAATCCCGCGCCTTTGGGAGGCTGAGGTGAGTGGATTGCCTGAGCCCGCGGGTTGGAGACCTGCCTGGGCAGAGAGACCTCATCTCTACAATAGATCAAAAAATCAGCTGGGTGTGGTAGCGCATGCCTGTAATTCCGGCTACTTGGAAGGCTGAGGCGGAAGGATCGTGGGAGCCCAGCAGGTCGAGGCTGCGGTGGCCGGGAGCGGCCACTACACTCCAGTGTGGGCGACAGAGTGAGACTCCAACTCAAAAAAAAAATGACACTTTCTATAATTTTGTTACATGAGCTTGCTGTACTACTTAGTTTCACTTTCTAGAGTTAGTGTCTGTGATTACTTGTTCTTACAAGTTGTTGTGCATAATTTCATTTATTTTAGCCATTCTCATACTGGAGGTTGACCAAAACACTTCCTTAGGCTCTTCACATTTAATATCTCAGCTTATAAAATGATTGTAAATCACCCCTTAATTTGCTATGTATTAATCCAGATAAAAACAAAAGATAAGATTTCAAGTAAAACATTTTTTTGTTTGTTTTATGTTGATCCAGAATTCAACTTATAAAAATGTTAAATTAAATATTATTTAGCTAAAAAGAATAGACTTTGGGAATAAAACCCAATGGACTAGGAAGCAGTCTCTATGTTACCTTTTCTAATAAAAAAAAAAGTTTAGAGACTATGTGTGTTCTCTTAGCCTGGCAAACTATGCTAAAATTGAGACTTCATATCCAAAAAGAGAATAATTTATACATGAATTATTCAAATAGATATGTAAACTTTTGGAATGTTTTAGAAATGAAGTTAAATCTTGATGCAAGACTAAGTTAATATTTCTCAGTATCTGCTATTCCTTCTTCCTCTATTTCTTTAAAAAAAGTTTGGGTATTTTTTCCACAAAACTAATATCACACATTATTACTTTTTGTTTTGAGTTTTTCTAGTAGAGGTATTAGAAAAGATAGCAAAGATATTATATTAGCAAAGATAGAACTTACAGACATTGAGTGATTCTTATGATTACTGGGGCTTTATAAGATTATCTAGAAGTCCACTTAAGAATGGTTTCTCATGTACCCAACACTCCTCTCACTCCCCTACAGAAATACTGTGATTATAGGTTTCAAGAAAAATAAAACTATTTGAATGTCAGCATTGAAGTGGGAGATATAAAGATATTATATCATTAAATATTATTTCATTGAAAATTACAGTTCACTTTGTTTCCAATTCTATTTATAATGGTTAAGATAATGGGCTCTCTAAAGCCCTAATCTGATTCCTGTATCTATCCCAATAGCTGCATAATTATGGGAACATTACCTAACCTTTCTTTTAACAGTTTTTACATATATAAATGAGGTAATAAGAGTATTTATCTTATAGAAGTATTCTAAAGATTGAATGCAAAATACAAACAAAATTCTTAAAATAGTTCCTGACATATAAGAATTTAGTGAATGTTAGCTATTATTGTTATTGTTGAAAAGGTATTTACAAAATGTCATAGTTAAGATACAAGACAAGATTTTGTTTAAAGATTTGATATCACTGAATTTAAAAGCCCTTTAAAAAATGTATTTCAATGAGTCCAAATACAATCTTCAAGTTCATTAGTTATGGGAAAAAAAAGTATATTTGCCCAGGAAGTGAAAATGGTAGGAACTTGTAAAGCTAATTTTGAATCTTTCATTGTTAATTTTATAGTGTAGTTTTTAATGACATAATTATAAGAATTAAAATAAATTATAATCTATAATAATATTTACTTTATAATATTTTATAATAAATGAGTACAACCTATATTTTCAACTAATATGCTGTTATATTAGGGGAAAAGCCCAAGACTTTATTTATTTATTTATTTAGTTATCAGCCATAATTACCTTAATTTTGAAGTGCCATTAATGTTTTTACTGAAAATGTTCAATGGCATATTTTATCTTTTTATTTGCATCAATAGATTCAGAGACGATGGCGGGGCTATAAGGTTCGGAAATACCTCTTTAATTATTTTTATTTGAAAGAATACCTGAGAGCTGTTTCAGAGACCAATGATGCAATTAGGTGAGTAGTACAAGCATTAGTTTACTAGTGAAAATTTTAGAAAGATTACTAAATAGATATTGATCAATATTATACTTAGATAACACTTTCTAAAACTCAGTTATGTTTAGGTAGAAATTTATTGATAAGATATGGATATATGATTCTATTTACCTTCACTTATTATTGTTATACTTTAAAAATCTTGTACTCATCACTGTAAATTAGATTATTTATGTGTGTAGCTAACAAGATAGTTTAGTTTAAGTAAAATTGTCTCATAGTTAGATGGATTTATCTGTAAAATGATTCTACAGATAAAGTGTTAAATATGATAAACCTCAGATGCATTTTGAGAAACATATTCAGTATCAAGATGAAGAAAATATCATGGAATATATTAATAGGGGCTGTTTTACTGTCAGTTTTTATTTTTTAAACACATAGAAAGATAGGACCTGGATTTAGGATATAGGATGATATCTTCTGTATATTTATACAAAGTGAAGGTATTACAATATTATCCAGTCAGCTTTTTCAAAGCTCTGTATGTAATTTTCATATTACTTGAAAAATTGTATTTTCCTCCTGTTATATGCCTCATCCTAATAACATATAAATGGCCATATACTCATAATACATTTTGATAAAAAGGAAATCGTAATTAACAATATTTGGCATTTAAAGAATAGTTTTACTTTCAAAATGTTTTCTGCATACATTATCTTACTCGTAAAAGTCTGAACTAGAAAAAGAAAATGGTGACAAATTTTTAAAAAGTCTGAACTAGAGAATAAACAATTGACAATAAGTTATTATTTAAATAAAATTTTTGTCTGAGTTCCTAAAATAATATATATCACAAAACAAATTTCCCAGCTGTTAATTTTCTCACATGTGTTGTGGATAGCAAAGAATCTGGTCTTTAGAGATTAATTATAAAGAATTTGTTAAGTTGATTTCTTTGGAATGAGCAGTTAAGGTTTGAGAAGCTGCAACGGGATTTAGTCAATGGGAGAAGTTAGAAAACTCAGAAACATGTGAGACATAGGGGAGTGCTATTTAATTTCTTCTTGAAAAAATCTGAAGTTCTAGAGACTGGCTGGCTGGCTACAAATGGCTGATTTGATCTTGTCGGAAGAGCAAGTAGAGTATGCAAGAGAGGAGTATGAGCAGGTCTGGGACTAGAGTGAGGCAAGTGAGTTGAAGGAGGCTCTCTTTGTCAAGGTCATGCAAGTGCCAACTCTTTAGTTTCATAACCCTGAGACAATGTATCCTTTAGTTTTGCATTTTAGGGGTCTTGCTGGCTTCATCCTAGTCTGAGCACTGAATAGAAGAAAGTCAAGGAGACAAACAGGTGAAAATGTAGTTTTGGCTGGGCTCGGTGGCTCAGCCTGTAATCCCACACCTTTCGGAGGCTGAGGTGAGTGGATTGCCTGAGCCCGCGGGTTCGAGACCCGCCTGGGCAGCGAGGTCTCATCTCTATAGTAAATCAAAAAATCAAGGCTGAGGTGGAAGGATCGCCGGAGCCCAGCAGGTCGAGGCTGCGGTGGCCGGGAGC